CATGGTCTGTGGACCAACAGAAGGTGGAATTCATTACCTATGGGCTTATTACAGTGAACATCTCGGGCGCCACTGCTAGCTACTGAATCAATATCTTCATTTACACACGATTCCCATATTAAAGTTGGGAAGGTGCCATTAGATAATCTAATATACAGGTTGGGTCAGAACCACTGGGCAGAGCAATTGAAGAGAATCAAAAGGCACTGAGGGAAGGAAGATGGAGGAGATAGTGCGGTGAAAGAGACAGGGAGGAGGGACGGGACAGAGAGTAAAAACAAATACACTTACAAACACTTTGCCTAAATTTACCTTTTTAAGTATTTTTTAAAGGGTAGAATCTTTTTTTAAGGAGCCTTGGTGATGCAATAGGAGCCTTGGTGTCACAGTGGTTAAAACGCTTGGCTGCGAACCAAAAGTTCCAGGGCTAGAGCCCAACAGCCCCCTCATAAGGAGAAAGATGTGGTAGTCTGCTTCCGTAAAGATTACAGCATTGTGGCAGTTCTACTCTGTCCTATAAGGTTCCTGTGAGTTGAAAGTACCTTGATGGTAGTGGGTTTGGGTTTGGGTTTGATGATGCAATAGATAAGCACTTGGTTGATAAATGAAAGGTCAGTGGTTTCAACTCACCAGCCACTCATGGGAGAAAGGACCTGGCAGTCTGCTTCCACAAGATTACAGCATAGGAAACCCTATGGTGCAGTTCTACACTGTCCTATAGGCTGCTGTGAGTTGGAATCGACTTGACAGCACACAACCACAGAATCTTTTTGTCTTGTTACTGTGGTATCAGTGCTCTGTTTCGCCTCACTGATAGATGTTCATCTCTTTTGTAACTCGTAGGAAGCAGTAATAAATATTTGATTACTAAATTGCCAAATGTCTTCAAGTAAAAAAAAAAAAAAAAAAGAAATTTGCTCAGAGGGAGTAGCTGAAGTATAATTATCAGCTATTGTTACGTTTAAAGGTGTAATTTAGCCATTGTTTTAATTAGTGAGATACTGATATGATAAAGCTACTTACAAATACCTTATTTTTTTATTTTTATTTTTGAGAGGTAAATATTCTCTTAGCAGTATCCCTTTATTATGAAATGTTTAGTTCCTTAAGCTTTGGCCATTCATTTCTCTTGGATATTTTTAATGAATCCCTATTCCCAATTTCACGATTACTGACCCTATATAACAAGCATTCTAACTTACGAGGTTTTACCTTTTATATTAAACAATCACAGTCAGTGGTGTACTTCCAATGAATAAGCTAGTTAAAATTCAAGCCAAATATTTTAATGCACCCAATGAAGCAATTTAGAGAGGATACTAAGTACAGGAAAAACATTCTAATGAAATAATATTCAAGCAAGGATGGAAATTAATAAAACCAAGGCAATTACAAGTTAATGTTCTTATGCAGGCTAAATGAGTTATCTCATTGATTCCAGGAATTGTTTTTTGTTTTGTGTCTCCATCATGATAAAATATGAGTAGAGTTTGATGTGTTTAATTCATATTAAGTAAATAATGCTTATTAATTAACAAATGGCATTAAATATATTTACTTGACGCTGCTCTTCCTTTACATGCAGCCCTTATATGTGCAGAGGGAATGTTTTACTTCTAAAAAAGAGTCTCATATAACAATGTGAAGAAATGTTAGCTCTGTCACCTCGCTGGTTAGAGTAAGCTTTTTGTTTTTTGTTCTTTTTTGCTGACTTATATTGTTATCCTTCAGGCAAACACTTACAATATGTTTCATGCTTACTGAACTTTGAAGTGGAATTAGACATGTGAAAATCTTCATAGTGAGAAGTGCTGTTTTAAAAGTTGAATGTATCATACATAATTTTTTTAACTGAATATAGGCTGCTTCTGAGACAAATCTCACAATTCCCTTATAACATCTTGAATTAAATAATTTTTTCTGCATATACCTAATTAATTTATTTAAATGCTGTTATGTTTTAGGTGAAAGTTTACAGCACAAATTAGTTTCTCATTCAAAAATTTATACACAAATTGTTTTGTGACATTGGTTACAACTGAATTAAATATTTTTCAAGAATTTGCATTTGGATAATGACTTGGAGGGCTGTGTCTTTGCATGTTCCTGAAATGGAGCAAAATATCTGAGGTCAGAGTGTCCTGAAAAAAATAAAAGATATGTAAGCACATTATGGAGGAAGCTGCTGTTTTGAAAAATTTGACATTGATTCAATGTGTATTATTAAATAATTTAGAATACATATTTTAAGCCTTTCACAGTATAATAATTGTTATTAAATCTAGGATTGTACTGTGTTAAATTATACTTGTATATTGTTTCCATAGTTAATAAATGAGTGTACCCTCATTTCTTAAAATGAACATTTAATAAAGAATTTAAAAATAAATTCAGGATTATCTTTTCTTTATGAGTATTTTCTACATGAATCTCCTCATTTACCAAGAATGACCAAAGTATTTAAATAAAGGGAAACTGAAACATTTACTGTAATTACTTTAAATCAGCATAGAATTAAAAATAGAAATTAATGCTTCAACATGTGTCTAAGATTAAAATATGATGTTACTTACAGGGTATGATTGCTAACTCATATCGACGCTATTGTTTTCTAGCTGAACAGTGCCTGTCAACTAGAAGCAAATTAGTAAACTTTCCATTTATTTTTAATCTAGCTATTTATTTAACATATGTCTGCTATTTTAATTAGCAACGTTTGACATATCAAAAGAGCTTTGTTGAATCTGGAAGAGACAAATTTTGAATCTATTCTTTACAGAAATGTCTATTAAAATGTTTCCTTTATATAGTATGAATTACTAATAAGGACATCTAAATAAATACAACCCTTGGTTAAAGATAGGAACATCAATATAAGCACAGTATATGAATATGAAGCGCTAATGAGTAGATACTATTTCTTTGGGCAAATATCAGATATACGTATATATGACATATGAATATAAATAAATATATGAATGCCAGGTACAGTGTCCTCTAGATAATGGAATACACCAGTGAACAAAATAAATGTAATAAAGGATCTTAGAAGTTTCTTAGATGTGTCTTACAAGTTGCGACGTATCTTACAAAATGATCCTGTGCAACATCTAAATAAATAAATAAATGTATACATACATACATAAAGCAGAGTGAGACAGTGCATGAGGACTGAGTTGTTTGGGAAGGATTCAGTATTAAATAAGGGTGAACTCTACTGAGAAGATGAAATTTGAAGAAAGACTTGAAGAAAGTAAGGGGGTATGCCAAGCTTATTTATTGTGTAGAATTTTATACTAGAATACTACTTCTGTCACGCAGGACGTGCCAGGGTGTAGAGATCACTTCCCAGTAGCTGAGGGCAAAGACCAGACCACTCTTTGGGTAAGATTAATTCTTAATACACACTGGGGCTTTTATTAATTGAGTTAAAGGAATAAAGAAGAGGAAGATACTTGGTGTTGGGAATGAGAAAAGTATATTCCATTTTGAACACGTTGTTGTTAGTCGCCATCAAGTCCACTTTGGCTCTTGGCAACTCCACATACAACAGATCAAAATGTTGCCCAGTCCTGCACCATCTTCATGATCATTGATGTGCCAGAGTCCATTGTTGTGGCCGATCTCTTTTTGAGCGCCTTCCAACCTAGGGACTCATCTTCCAGCACTATACTGGACGTGTTCTGTTGTAATCCACTGGGTTTTCATTGGCTAATTTTCAGATCTCCAAGCCTTTCCTCCTAGTCTGTCGTAGTCTGGAAGCTCTGCTGAAACCTGTTCACTCTGGGTGACCTTGCTGGTATTTGAAATACCAGTGGCATAGATTCTAGCATCATAGTGAAATGCAAGCCACCACAGTTCAACACAGTTGTACACATTAGGAAATCTAAATAGGGACTTGTGTAGATAAATGGAAATACATGCTGCAGTTCAATAGAGAATTCAGATCTGAAAGTCTTCTACTTGTAGGTATCATGTGAAGTCAGGGATGAATCATTTCACACAGGAGAAGGCCAATAGCCCCTTCAAAAAATACCAAGAGCAACTCTCGGGAAATACTAATGTTTAAGGGGGCGGAGTCTTGATATAGTATCACTGAAGAAAGCTTAGCAGAATTATCAATGAGGTGAGAAGAGGCAAGGTTGAAGTTTAAACGCAGAAGCCAAGAGGTGAAATGCAACCTGTATTCTGTAAAATTAATTTGTCTAAGTACTTTAAAATTCTTTCTTTGTAATAAGTGAGTTTAACAGAGTTTTGTCCTTTGATACAGTAGTTTTGACGCCTAACCTGTAGCACTGCTTTCACTATAGTATACCTTGATATGCTGCTGTCAGTTTGGATAGAAGGATGCTATAAGAAAAGACAAATGGAATGTTTTATTGTGTTTTCTGTGAATGTTTTCTTTTTTTAATTGAAGATATTTAGTTCCATGCGTGGTTCCCTCATTTTGAGGAGCCTTGGTAGAAATTTCACAGAAATCTCAGCATTAGGAACAGTTGTGCGACTGCTGATCAGTTATCAGTTTTTTATATAATATGAATTATGTTGTACATAGTGTAAAATATGTAAAAGTTTGTTTCCCTGTTTGCATTGAGTGCTAGGTGTCTTAGATCCGAATTTGGGAGCATCTACAATAGGACCTTACTGTGTGAATTGCATGAATTCACTTCACTGCTGACTCCATTTTTTCCAACTTGCCAAAATACCTTGTTCAGCTGTGTCAAATTTGATTTCTTTGGATAAATTGTATGATTTTTGTAAAGCACTACATACTTGCTGGAACAAGAAAGAATATAAAAATACTATATCAATTTTGAAGGTTTTATATATTAATTTTAATCTAGTTGTAGGCTTCACTCCACAAATGTTTACTGAATTGTCAACTGTGAGATGAGTCAGTTGTTACTCCGGAACTCTGCTTTTCTCAGCTACTCCATAAAATCTGAGAAATTTCTCTTGTCGACTGACTTTGATCAAGGCTTCATCTCTGTTTTCTGCAGTGACGAGGACAGTGTGTGCAGAACAATGTGATGGCAGGTGCTATGGACCCTACGTCAGTGACTGTTGCCATCGAGAATGTGCTGGAGGCTGCTCAGGACCTAAGGACACTGACTGCTTTGTACGTCTGGTGTTCTCCCTTTCACTCTCTTCCTCTCCCAACCCTCCCAGTCTGACACAGGCACACTGAATTCTTAAACATCTTACTACAATCATTTTAAGTTTAGCCATCTCAGGCTTAACAAAGATGCTCTGCCTTCAGAGACATCATTTCCTCCCTGAGTTGGCTATTGATTAATTGTTCTGTTCTAGTAAATGAATTGTGTCTTTTTGATATATTTTATATTACAAGTGAGATTTATTTGAGAACCTGAAGGAAAACATACTTAAATATCTTTTTAAACTATAATAGCATACTTTCCAAAATTTGCAATGACTGCCTGTTTATGTTGTTGCATTGTTGAGTCCTCTAGGTGGGAGCACTTCCATTTTATTTCTTGAATATACATTTCAAGATTATAGCAGATAAATTTATGAATTTAAGTATTTTTCCAGTTTATATTGTTTACAAGCTTATATTACTTATTAAAAATTAGTAAGATTTACAAATGCACATTTAAAGCAATATATATGCTGATCTGTGTGATTTTTATTTTAGAACTGGATGCTTTTACTTCCTTAAAGTTAGCATTTATAGCTTGTTGGGGACACATTTAAGTTACATTGTGATATTCCTGTTATAGTTATTTTTCCCCTTTTGAATACATACAAGCAATTCTGTGAGCCGTAGTTAACCAAGTTTTGTACATATAGACCATTAGTTTAATTTTAAGCTAGGAATGCTAAGAATAATAAATTGTTTTTATTGTTAAAAGTAAACACAGGAATTTATTTTCATTATTCCTCTTCTCAAATATCTAGTGAATACACATACATATTTAGAATTGAGCTTTAAAAAAAATGGCAATTAATTCCTGAAACAAGCAAAATATAAATTATAGCTATTATATATAGATAGTAATTTTGTAATTATTAATGCCATAAGATACCTAATTTGTCTAAATTCCATAGTGCAACAAAAATATGTGTTGTAGAAGAGAGTAGGAAAAAGGAAGAAAAGAAAACCAAAAAGTTAAAAATTTAAGGAAGATATTCAGCACGTCTTGAACTAGAACCCTACCCTTGTCTATCACCAGGCATGAGATGGAAGCTTGGTTCTGAGGAATACAGAACACTGCAGGTGATGTGTTAGCAATTCCAAACCAAGAACGGCAGTGTTGTTGTTGTTGTTAGGTGCTGTCCAGTTGGCTCTGACTTATAACAATCCTGTGTAGAACAGAATGAAACATGGCCCAATCCTGTGCCATCCTCATAATCCTTGTTATGCTTGATCCCATTATTGCAGCCACTGTGTCATTCCATCTCAAGGGTCTTCCTCTCTTCTGCTGATCCTCTGTTTTACCAAGCATGATGTCGTTCTCCAGGGACTGGTCCCTTCCTGATAACACGTTCAAAGTACATGAGATGTAATCACTTCCAAGGAACATTCTGACTGTTCTTCTTCCAAGACAGATTTGTTCGTTCTTCTGGGAGTCCATGGTATATTCAATATTCTTCTCCAACACCATAATTCAAAGACATCCATTCTTCTTCGATCTTCCTTATTCATTTTCCAGCTTTTGCATGCATATGAGGCGATTGAAAATACCATGGCTTGGGGCAGGCTCACCTAGTCTTCAAGTGACATTTTTGCTTTTTAACACTTTAAAGGGCTCTTCTGCAAATTTTCCCAAAGCAATGCATCATTTGATTTCTTGACTGCTAGCTCCATGGATGTTGATTGTAGATCTAAGTAAAATGAAATCCTTGACAACTTCAATCTTTTCTCCATTTATCATGATGTTGATTATTGATCCAGTTGTGAGGATTTTTGTTTTCTTTATGTTAAGGTGTAATCCATACTGAAGACTGTAGTCTTTGATCTTCATCAGTAAGTGCTTCAAGTCCTCTTAACTTCCAGCAAGCAAGGTTATGTCATTTGCATATGACACGTTGTTAATGAGTCTTCCTCCAAACCTGATGCCGTGTTCTTCTTCATATAGTCCAGCTACAACAATAAATGCCAAAATAATAAAAACATTCACTTAGAAGTTTTCCCTATATTTTCATTGTCATGATAAGCACAGTGCCAGGTGAATTTCAAAATTCTCATTACTTTTAGGCAATGGTCCAGTGATTCCACTTTGGCATTTGGAACAGAATGTTCAGAAATGCCAGCCCAAGGCCTTGGTTGAAGTTACATTGTTTTTGTATGCTGTCTGGAAGGTAAATTTGTTTTATTCCTCCAGCTTAAGTTCCTTTGTTCCCAAGAAATCTGTGCACAATGCTGCATATACTATGTTAGGAAAGCAATTATAAAGACGCATGAAGTTTTATAGCCATAAAATAAAATTCACTGAGTTTTCTAGATTGCTTTTTAACAGATTCTTCCTGGAAAGTGTCATCTTAGTGAATAAGGTATCATCAGTGAGCCTTGTTCTGATTATGCTTCTAGTAGACCATCATCAAGGAATTGTCATGTTTGTGATAAAGTACTTGCTAAAACAATTGATGAAGCAAATGTTTTGAAGAAACAGAATAAATTAATGCTTATTAATAACCATACATACAATTTATGATGAAATGTAAAAGATTGTTTGAGTTCACATTAGCTTGCCTTCCAAGATCTAAATTATTCCTATGAAAGTTTAATTTTTTTAATTTGGAGAATTAGTTGCTCTACCATTTTGTTAATTGCATGTTTCCGTATATATATATATATATATATATATATATATATGTTGCTATATATATATATATATATATATATTGCTCAAGCATTTTGTTGATTGCATGTTTCCATATACATATATATATATATATATATATTTATATGAAGTACCTAACTCTCAGATAGTAAATTTGTTTTTAATTTTTCTAAAACACACTTGAAAAGTTTAATAGATTGAAGTCTCAATACAAATATATGTCAGTGGAAATGAATTGTCTTCCTTGAACTTGGTGGCTATTACTAAATGGTATGGCAATATGAAAAAGACCATCCAAGGAATGGAATATTATTTAACGACTGGTTAACTGCAGCTATCTCTTTACATTTTTGTATTACACACACTACATTACCCATGACTAGTCACCTGCCAAAGCCCTTTCTTTAAGTTTAAATGTCCATCACAGTGTTTGCTTATTATACAGAAGTGACGACTATGTTTAACATATCACTTAAGGCACTCAAGTCTGCAAATGCCACTTCAAAGAAAAGTCTAGCCTATAAAGTTGAGGGTTTTGTTGTCAGTGCCAAACTCAAAGACTAAACATAAATGCTTTGAATAGATGTGAGCCTAAGTAATTTTTCACAATTAGCTAACTTTAATAATTTAAACCAACCCTCAGTTTAGAAATTAGTGGATAGATAGATACTAAATAATTTCAACACCAGTAACCATAGATGGTACATATATTTACTGACATTTGAAAAAAAAATTGTAAAATTTTTGAAGTCCAAATTTGTAGTTAAAAAATAAACACAACTGACCTTGAAATTATAGAATTTTATAGTAAATCTGAAGGTGATATATACTAAGATGAAAGGACCGTCCCAGTAAAGAACACATCCTTCTCACAAAACTGTTGCAGCAGTGTTCCTTTAGCAAGTGTTATGAAGATTGTTTTAAAATGAAAATAATATTTGCTGTTTTGCAGGCCTGCATGAATTTCAATGATAGTGGAGCATGTGTTACTCAGTGTCCCCAGACTTTTGTCTACAATCCAACCACCTTTCAACTGGAGCACAATTTCAATGCTAAGTACACATATGGAGCATTCTGTGTCAAGAAATGCCCACGTAAGTAACAAAATAGCAATGGCTAAATAAATTAGATCATTATTTAAAAACAGGAAATTCATGTAAATTCATTTTACTTTGAAATTTGTAACAGTATTGTGAATTACTTTGGATATGGATACTATCCATCCTATTTCACAGATAAGGAAATTAAAACAAAAAATTAAAGTGATTGGCCCAAATTTCACAGCAAAGCAATGGCATGTCTGAGGTTAGACTGCAGTGCTGTTAACTTCTGAACTCATTATTTTTCACTATACCTTGATTTTTTTGACGATTGTGAAGGTTAAGATTGTCAACTTGACTGGGCCATGATTGTCGGTATTTTAATGTGATCACTCCCATGATTGAATATACTGTGAGTAGCCAGTCAGATGAAAGGGAGTCTCCTTGGGGGTGTGGCCCATATCTGAATATAAGCAGACGTTCTGGCTTTTTGCTCACTCTGGATCCTGTGGCTGCCTTCTGTCATCTCATCTC